GTAGTGGAGAAACGGTCCCTTAAGGCCAATAATCTTAGGCGGCGATCTTCACGGTCTGTTGTTCTACGGCGGCATCCAGTGCCCCTTGCTCTTTGCGTACGGCCTTCTCGAAGCCATGCCTGACAACACCTAACCACAGTGTCTACACTTCTTTGCACTCTAACTACAATTGCCCGAAAAGAAAGTCCATCTTCCCGAAGTCCCACTATACGGCCCCTATCAAACTCACTAAGTTGACGAAATCGTACAGGTCTCCGTACTCTAGGCATCGTAACCGATCGTAAAGGATGTCAAGAACCAAAATCCGCCAACGTTGATTCTTTACTGCGGCTGAAATATTCATTTTTAGAGCGTTAGTGACTTAAAAAAAACAGTATAAAAACCGGAATGTCCAACTGATAAGGCTGAAAATTTTTTCACTTATTATTTACAGTAAGATAAATACATTCACCAACTTTTATTAAAATAAAACCATTTAAACTGGGTGTTCGGATTTACATGTATATGTCACTTAGTATACTATTGACCCTCTAATCACCGAAACCGTCGAAGCGAATCCTAACTAATTCGATACTGATATTGTATTCCGGCAAGATGGTGGTCCACCACACTACTACGGACAAGGTAGGAATTGTTAACAATTTCCCCGGTCGTTGGATTGGCCGTCGAGGTCCTGTGTAATGGCCAGCTCGCTCGCCAGATTTGACACTTTTAGACTTTTTTTATGGGGCTATTTGAAGTAAAAAGTGTACGAAACTGAACGTGCTTCAATATTGGATATACAGCTGAGAATAACAAATATTTGTAGAAATATCGATGTTACTATGTTTGAAAATGTTCGACGCGAAATTGCGGATCGGCTGTTATTGTGTCAAGAAGTCCAAGGCAACCATTTCCAGCATCTTTTAAACTGAACTCAACGTATTTATTCGAATTATCAAGTTAAATGTCAATGTATTCAGGTAACACTGATCAACAGCCAAAAAATATCCTAAATAAAATCAACAAAATATTACTATTTTTAATGTGCTAAAACCGGAATGAAACTTATTTTTTCAATATTAGTTCAAGTTTTAGAGATACGGTAATTATATGTGTTCCTGCTGTGACAGTGTTAATATACTGTAATTCACAAGAATGCACGTGCTACATTTTTATATTCGGCAAAGAAAGATGATGTAATTGGCGTGATTGTGTTACGTTATACATACGTGTACATTATATTGTTTTATATTAGCCATTTTTTCCTCAGTTGGCTGACAGCGTTCATGCAAGATGTCTCAAAAGTGTGTAAACAATCCAGATCAGTTTTGTTACGTGTGTGGTGATGTGACTTTTGCGTCTCAGAGACGGTCTATTACTACACTGATAACAAAGGCATATCAGCTTTATTTCGGTTGTAAACTAGGTGATCAAGACAAACAGTGGGCAGCCCACATCTGCTGTAATACATGTGCTTCAAATCTGAGGAGCTGGTTAAATGGCAAAAAACGGTGTATGCGCTTTGCTGTCCCAATGGTTTGGAGAGAGCCTACAAATCATATTAATGATTGTTACTTTTGCATGGTACCTTGTGTTGGACAAGCCACAGGTATGTCCAAGAAAAAAAAATCGGTTATTAACTACCCAAACATATTATCTGCGATGAGACCTGTGCCTCACAGTGACGAAAATCCTATTCCAAAACCCCCAGAATCCTACACTTGCGAATCAGAAAACGAATCAGATCATGGCGATCGAGTGATTCGTCAGGAAGAAGATATGCTATCAACGTCAAGAGATCCTGATTTAGAACTTCCAAAATGTAAGGCAGAGTTACTTGGATCAAGACTGCAGCAGTGGAACTTGTTAGAAGACGATGTTTCGGTATGTGTTTTTCGTAAACGCCACAAAGACTTAGAACCATTTTTCAATATGGAGAATAACTTGGTTTTCTGCAGTAACATTAACGGCTTACTGGCGGCTTTAAATATAAACTATAACCCAGAAGAATGGAGATTGTTTATAGACAGTTCAACATTGAGTTCAAAGGCAGTGTTATTGCATATTGGAAATATTTTACCATCTCTTCCTGTAGGGTATGCAGTTCACATGAAAGAATCATATGACAATATGAAGTACCTATTGACATGCATAAAATACGATGAGCACCAATGGCATATTTGTGGCGATTTGAAAGTTGTTGCACTTTTACTTGGGCTGCAGCTAGGCTACACAAAGTTTTGCTGTTTTTTGTGTGAATGGGACAGTCGGGCAAAGGCACTTCATTACACTAGACAAAACTGGCCTGTTCGTCAATTCCTAGAGCCAGGTCAAAAAAATGTACAGCATATGCCATTAGTAGATTCGAAAAATTTATTACCACCACTGCATATCAAGTTGGGCCTAGTGAAAAACTTTGTCAAGGCATTAAATAGAGATGGGTCAGCTTTTCAATACCTGCGTCAGAAATTTCCAAGACTAAGTGAGGCAAAGGTTAAAGAAGGTATTTTTGTTGGGCCACAGATTCGAAATATTTTGAAAGATACACAGTTTGAAAACACTTTAACAGGTATTGAAAAAACTGCTTGGAATGATTTCCGTCTGGTGGTCACTAATTTCTTGGGAAATAGAAAAGCTGACCACTATAAAACCCTTGTCAAAAATATGCTGTCATCGTATCAAAAGATGGGCTGTAATATGTCTCTTAAGATACATTTCCTACACTCACACCTGGACTTTTTTCCTGACAATTGCAGAGCCGTAAGTGATGAGCATGGCGAACGTTATCATCAGGATATTTCAACAATGGAAAAAAGGTACCAGGGAAAGTGGAATCCTTCCATGCTTTCAGACTACTGTTGGACTCCTGGTAGAGATGCTCCAGAAACGATCCATAAAAGAACAGCAAAAATGATTCTTATAAGTATATGAATTCTGTTACTTTTTTTAATATATCCTTAAAAATAGATAGTTTTTTTTCTAAACCGCAACTAATTTTTTTATTTCATTGTCATTTTTGGATTCAGCGCCCCAAAATTAACAAAGAAGTGCACTTTTCCCACAAGATACAATTAAAAAACTAAAATTTGTTGTATAGTGTAATTATTAAATGTACCACCATTTTGTAGTAGGTAAATGTATTGACTTTATATTTTATAAAGTACTCGTCAGGAGCTTGAAAATGATGTGCCACAAGACTCCGTTGTCATATAATTTTTATTTCCAAGATGGCGCCCAGCGGCTATCTTGACATTTTCATCTGTCAATTTTACTCTAAAATATTGTATCTACGAACAATTTCATTACTTCAAGTTTTAATTTTTTTAATTGATCCGTTCAAAAAATCAAAATAGAGGGGGACATTAAAGAAAAGCACTGTATAATAATATTAGTTCCTTCAACAACCACAGTGAGGATCATAATTATGCAACACGAAATAGAAACAATTCTTCCAGCAAGTACCGCCTTGAAAAACCTAGAGTTGGGACAAATTTCTATGACATTAAGTTTTTCGATCTGTGGTCTAATAATGTGAGATCATTAGATATTAACGTTATCCAGGGGAAACTCATGTTTACACACTTCACATACTACTTTAGCTTAGGTGACAGATCGCTCAATGCTTCGGTCAACGTTAATTATGTTAAAATTATTGACCCTACTCAAAATTTCCAAATAACGGGTGATTTTTTAAGAGGTATAGGATTTGATTTTCAAAAAAATCACAAAAAATTTGAAAAAGCGATTAAATCTTTATTCGAGTCGATAGAACGGTCGATATAATTCAATGTTTAAAAATTTTTTTATGTAAATGTTGGCCGCGGCTCCGCTTTAGATGGCCCATGCGCAAGGTCCAATTTTGGCACACTCTCTCCAACATATCGGCCGGTATCTCACGAATAAATGCTTCAATATTGGCTTCCAGTGCGTCAATCGTTGCTGGTTTATCCCTGTAGACATTACCCTTAACATGGCCCCACAAGGAATAGTCCAACGGCGTTAAATCACACGATCTAGGCGGCCATATGACGGGCCCCAAACGTGAGATAAACTCTTCACCGAACTCACCTCTCAATAGGGCCATTGTTTCGTGTGCGGTGTGGCATGTGGCACCATTTTGTTGAAACCACATGTCAGCCAAGTCCAGCTCTTCCATTTTGGGCAAAAAAAAGTTTGTTATCATCGCACAGTAGCGCTCGCCATTCACAGTTACGTTCCGGCCATTGTCGTCTTTGAAGAAGTACGACCCAATGATGCCACCGGCCCATAATCCACACCAAACAGTAATTCTTTCGGGATGCATTGGTAGCTCTTGCAATGCTTCTGGCTGATCTTCACTCCAGATGCGGCAATTTTGTTTGTTAACGTACCCATTCAACCAGAAATGAGCTTCGTCGCTGAACACAATTTTTCGATAAAAATGTGGATCTTCCTCCAACTTTGCCAGCGCCCATTCACCAAATGGGAAACGTTGTGGGAGGTCGTGTGGCTTCAATTCTTGCACCAGCTGTATCTTATAAGGTTTTACACCCAAATCCTGTCGCATAATTTTCCACGTAGTGGAGTAACGGAGCCCCAATTGCTGCGAACGGCGGCGAAGCGACATTTCACGGTCATCACTAACACTGGCGGATACAGCCGCAATATTTTCTTCAGTCCTCACTCTGCGTCTGCGTGTTGGTGGTTTAATGTCCAATAATGTAAACTGGGTTCGAAATTTAGTCGCAAGCTTCCGAATAGCTCCCTCGGTAGGCCGCCCAAATTGCCCATAAATTGGAAGCAGTGCTCGATGCACTCTCTTAACCGAGCATGAATTTTGATAGTAAAATTCAATAATTTGCAAGCGTTGTTCGTTCGTAAATCAATTCATGGTTCAATTATAGACCAAACTGAACAAGCTTGATAATGACAGAAGACACGATTCACGCGTCATCTGTCAAAAATAGTGTTGCCAAAAAGATACTAGCAAAAAAATCACCCATTATAAGTGTAGATATCATCATATCAAATAAGATACAGTACTCGTACAGCTGTTTATTAATATAAATATTTTGATTAGAAAGTTCTATATCGTTAAAATCATTTTTCTGTAAAAGCTGTCTTGATCACCCTTCTGCATGCAGATCTTCAGAAGCTTCTGCTGGTGCAATGAGCTCTCCTTGTTGCGAATGTACTCTAAATCAGGAAAAAAAATGAAATCATGAAAAGAATGGATATTAATAAAATCACAATAATTTACTTACTTAGGTAAAGATTGAGATTTCGATTGCGTCATATCTTTCGAGCCTCGTGATGTGCGTCCTACAAAATATGTTTGAAATCAATTATTGGCAACTTTAAGAGCTATTCTTCGCCATGAAGTCGTCACCAGCATTCGTAGACAAACCAAAGAATATTTACGTCAATAGAAAACACGTGGAATATATTAATAATCCGACTGTCGGTTCCATTAAGTTGGATTTCTTCTGCATTATAGTAGGGGTCAAAATGGCAAGCTCGAAATGCGATTAAAAAGAATTAGATATTAGATCATGCATTTTTTAATTATGGTGAATGCGTATTCTTCCGTTATATGCACATTCACCATACTTTTGAATAAAAGGTTTCTCGTCTAATCTACTATCGATATCTCTACCACAAGTGCGGAACTTTTTTTAATTGGATTTTGGGCTAGGCGCGATACAGAGTGTTCTCAAAATTGGGACTTTTCCTTACAGAAAATATAGGTCAGGCAATAATAAGCATGGTTTTTAGTGACATTGATATTTAAGGGTGTCAATCTACATGAAAAATTAATGTCAGTTTGCTTTATAAACTATAGTCCAAAATGTTTCCTTACAAAAACTCGGGGTGTTGAAATTTTAGGAAAAAAATTGAAATTAATTAATATTTTCAGAACCGCTTTAGATATTTCACTGATATTTAGTTAGTCGTGAAAGTTGGTAAGGTTGCACTTTTTTCAATGCAAAAATAATTTTTAGCTTTAACAGTGGCGTTCGTACTTGTATTGACTTCGAAATCTTTTAAGAAAAAAATTGTACGCCAATGGTTTTTTGCCAAATAAAAATTATTTTTGCATTCCCCGTTCAATTCAAACCAAAATGCCAAGAAATGTGGAATTTTTTAAACAATATAATACTTTTAGGTGATTTTAATTTAAATTATTATGGTAAAAGCATGAAAACAAGAAAATTGAAAGAAACCATAAACAACTATGGGTTCAAGCAAAAAATTGATCAGAGTACCAGAATAACATCATTATCAGAGACTTTGTTAGATCTTGTTATTGTAAATTTCGAATGTGCAGGGATTAAAGCTGTTCATACACCTAAAGTTAGCGATCACAGTTGGACAATGCTGCCCTTGGTAGGGCATTTTTCTGATACAAAAATTAAGAAAATCGTAAATACTATTAAGTACGAAAAACTTGAACGAGAACTTGCTGGCTGCTATTGGAATTTTGGTGAGAATATGGAAAAAATATATGACAACATAATAGAATATATAAAAACTTGTTTAGATCTTGCAACTGATAAAAAAGTGATTTGCTCGACAAAAAATACACCCTGGTATAACAAGAGTATTAAGGCAGCTCAAAATTTGAGAGACAAACAATACAATAAATGTATATTCACAAAATCAAATGATGATTGGGAGGTATATAAAACTCTTAGGAATAAATGTGTATATGTAATTAGAGAAGAAAAAAGGAAATTCTACGATAAACAAATCGATAATAACAAGTGCGACAGTGTAAAGATGTGAAAGACTTTAAAAAGACTGATCAATTCCAAGCCGCATGATTGTGTAAATCAAGTTCAATTCGAAAACGGTACCGAAACAAATTCTTTGGTGATTGCAAACAAACTAAATGAATATTTTGTGGAAAGTATTGTTGATATTGTGGGTACTGCCAATGCTGCACCTGACTATATGAAAATCAGTTTCCAGGGGGAAATGTTGCATACACTTTCAAATTTTCATAGCGTATCATTGAATTATCTAAGAAAAGGAATAAACAGTTTAAAATCAAATAACAACTGTGCCGAAATGGCTACTAAAAACGTGCTGAAAAACTGTTTCGAAATTTTGGGATATCCTGTATTAAATTGGTTCAATTGTTCACTGAGGAGCAGTTCTTTCCCTGAAAATTTGAAATGCTATACAATAACACCAGTTCTCAAAATAAAAAATTCTAAAAGATGCAGCGATATGAGACCAGTAAATGTGTTACCAGACATTGAAAAATTATTAGAGTCCATAGTGCATGACCAATTAATGCAGTTTATAGAAGAAAACTAAATTTTAGTGGAGGCGCAAGCAGGCTTTCGAAAAAAATATTCCACAGAAACAGCTTTCCAGTTGGTAACTGAGAATTGGAGAAGAGCCATAGACTCAGAAGAAGTTGTCATAGCAGTATTTTTGGATTTGAAGAGGGCATTTGAAACGATTGATAGAGATATTTTGTTATGTAAATTGAAGGCATATGGTATAACAGGAAGTGTTTTAGATTGGTTTAGAAATTATTTGTCTAAAAGGATGCAAGTTACAAAAGTTAATGACACTATTTCATCAAAAATTGAAAATACGTTGGGTGTTCCACAGGGCAGTATCCTGGGACCACTTCTTTTTATTTTATACATAAATGATTTACCTGCCATAGTCAAAAAATGCAAAATTCAGATTTTCGCCGATGACTCTATGATTTATATAAGTACTAAAAATATTCAGTCTGGTATCTCTTATATAAATGAAGACTTGAAGCTTGTCTCAAAATGGTTAGCATCTAACAGACTAAAATTAAATGCAAGTAAAACGAAAGCCTTGTTAATCGGAAAAAGACAATGTACAAATGTTCAACTGAATATTGATGGTGAAGATATTGAATTCGTAGAAAATTTTAAATACCTGGGAATTTTTGTTGACTCTCAATTAATTTTTGATATTCATTATGAAAAAGTTATAAATAAGATTAGTAGTAAAGTGGGATATTTATCGAGAGTTTCTGGATGTCTGAGTTCATATAGCAGAAAAATTATCTATAATACCATCATTCTTCCAAATTTCTTGTACTGTTCGACTATTCTATATTTAGCAAATAATTCCATTTTTGAAAGACTGCAAATTTTACAAAATAAGTGCATGAGAATAATACTAAATAAAGATAAATATACTCCAATTAGGCAAATGCTTAGCAAATTAAAATGGCTCAATGTAAAAAATTTTATCAAATATTTTGTAATGATATTCATTTATAAAGTAAAAAATAATATATTTCCATCAAGTCTAACTAATTTAACATCATCAAATGTCGACCATCATTTTAATACCAGAAATAAAGATGACTTCCATTTAATGACCAAAAAGTATAACATATGCTACAAATCTGTATTCTATCAAGGGTTGATTGAATATAATAAATTATACTCGGAGATAAAAGACCAGAAAACTTTGAAAAATTTAAAGTAAAATTGAGAAATCACTTGTTAAATCTACAATTATAGGTTGCCCAGCATTTACATCATACACCATATGGCTTGAATTTACTAGTTCTAAGTTGTTTACAATTGTTCTGTTTATGTAGCCAAATGTGCTAAATAAATCTTTCTACTACTACTACTACTCGTACTACATCTATAATTGTTTTCCTTCAATACGCCAATTTTGAGTAAAAAAATAAAAACCGTTGTATTGTCCGAGAAAATTAATGTAATAATTGACGAATGCAATTTAGCAATAAATATCTAGTTGCTCTGAAATATGTCACTGGCTTTTGACATATGGCAAGTCTCTGTTATTCAAATCTGTTCGCTGTGACATCTTTTTCATTATTTAGTTTTTACAATCTTGTTAATAATGATGAATTATTCAAATGCAGAAATGGCGGAAATGCATTACGTATATGGCCTTGCCGACGGTAATGGTGAGCAAGCCAGACGGATTTATCACCAGAGATATCCCGATCGTGCTTTGCCAGATAGTCGAACATTTTCTAATATTCCTCGTTGCCTTGTTGAAACTGGTTCTGTCAGCAAAGGAACACCTGAAGGTAGACCTCCAAGTGTGAGAACACCTAAAATTGAGGAAGCAGTGCTGCACGAAGTCGAAGAACATCCTGAAACGAGTACGAGGAAGATCGCTAGACACTTAAATATTTGCCATCAAATTGTTTGGAGAATTTTAGTGGATTTTTTGTTATATCCTTTTATATATACATATTTAGTATTTAGTAGTAATAGTACAAGCATTACTTCCCATTGATTTTCCAAGGCATGTGACCTTTTGTCAGTTGTATCACGAACGAAGCTAATTTTTCTCGAAATGCCATTCAGAATTTTCACAATAATCGTTTGTAGGCAGAATAAAATCCCTATGCCGTAACCGAAACCCATTTCCAACACCAATTTTCGGTTAACGTATGGGCAGGAATTATTGGCAACCACTTTATTGGCCCATTCTTCTTGCCGGGACGACTTGACGGACAGACTTACCTCAATTTTCTTCAACAACAGTTGCATTTGCTGCTTGATGATGTTTCGTTAGTAATAAGAAACAATATGTGGGACATGCATGATGGTGCACCAGCGCATTTCAGTGTAGCGGTTCGTGATTATTTACAAACTGTTTATCCAAATCGTTGGATTGGCCGCGGTGGGCCCCAAGAATGGCCACCAAGGTCCCCAGATCTCAACAGTTCAGATTTCTTTTTGTGGGGCTATCTTAAGACACTAGTGTACACAAGTCCCATTAACACTGTAGAGGAATTAAGAGAAAGAATACTTCCATTTTAATGGTATGTTTATGTTGTCACTTGTTGTTGTTCAATACCCCTAATGTGTTTAATTTTTCCAATCAAATTCAATTTTGCAAGCTTTTTATTTTTTTACTCAAAAATGGCGCATTGAAGGAAAACAATTCAAGAGAGATCATTTGTTTAAAATTGAACGGGGAATTCAAAAATAATTTTTATTTGGCAAAAAACCATTGAAGTACCATTTTTTTCTTAAAAAATATCGATATCAATAGCCGTACGCACGCCACTGTTGAAGCTAAAAATTGTTTTGCATTGAAAAATATGCAGCTTTATCAACTTTCACTACGTACTAAATATCAGTGAAATATCTGAAGCGGTTCTGAAAATATTAATTAATTTCCATTTTTTCCTAAAACTTCAACACCCCGAGCTTTTGTAAGGAAACATTTTTGGACCATAGTTTATAAAGCAAACTAACATTAATTTTTCGTGTAGATTGACACCCTTAAATATTCGCATATCATTAAGGAACACCCTGTATATTGTCGGTAGTATCCACGCCTAGTGTTTCGACCACGTAAAGACCCAACGCTTCGAAACTGCTTAGCTGTGACCGCCACACCCATACTTTGTACTTTGACATACGTACCAACCGATCCTTTTGAAGCTCTCCTAGACTCTGGATGCGCAACTCGTTCGTCCACAGCAGCGCCGTGCGCCGTAACCGACCCTTTCGGACTTTCTGGAACGCGCAACTGCGCCGACCCTGATCTGACAGCTGCGGTGGACGACGGCGCATGCCCGGCTCCAGCTCCAGCAGCTCCGTGGTGGTCGGAAGGATATGTTACTGCGTTCGGGAGTGCAACCTGTGTAGCAAGCCCAAAATTAAAAGGTTATGTAACTATACAGGGTGTTTCAGTTTATTGTTGCATAACTTTAAGATTCGATAGAACTTTTAAAATTAATGCATAAAGTCTATATAAACATGGGTCGAAAAATGCGTGGCTTCCGAAATACGGGGTGTTTAAATTTACATTCTAAAATAGTTTCTTTTAAATATTTCGAACAATATTTGATGTCTAACAGTGAAAATTGGTATACAAGTGTTTTTTGGTACGACAAAACGAACCATAGGAAAAGTTTTACTGTAGCCGCTGGAGGGCGCTCTCTACTGTACCTGTAGTGTATTAAAATGACCGAATAAATTTTCTTAGTGCAATTTTTTGTTTTTGAATAAAAAAACTGATTCTTCGTACTTTTCAACATAAAAAAGCTCTCCTGTGAATTTTCGTTATAGTTAGCCGTTTTTGAGATATTTCGATTTTTAAGGTTCGATGCATTTTTAATTATTTATGATAAAATAACGTTAAAAAGTCAGTATCTCGATAATTTTTAGAAGTAGGCAGTGCCTGCAAATATTTTTGAAATTGAAAGCAGAATAAGGTTAAACGTCAATTAGTTGACAGTTTTGTTGTCTGTTGAAACCTGAAACGTTTTTTTGCAATTGTGAATGCACGAAATTTAGTTTCTTTTACCTGTTTTTTTTTTGTAAGTTTTATAAAAATGCCATTTTTATTCTCCAATCAAGAGTTAGCGGATATTCATTTTGTGTATGGCTTTGTAAATGGAAACGCAGCAGAAGCAGCCAGAGAATACGCACGAAGATTTCCAAACAGACGACATGCAACTCGCTCAGTATTTGTAAGAGTGCATCGCCAAATAATTGAAAATGGTTTTGGAAATCTCCAAAGGGATCAAAACATAAATGTTCGTCAGCGCAGATTTACCCGTTTGATTCTGCGTGAGTTTGATAGAGATCCGACCACAAGTGGTAGGAGAGTTTCTGGTGCCTTGGGAATTTCAGCAAGCCATGTTCACCGTGTTCTTAGAAATGACCATAGACATCCTTACCATTTGCAACCTGTGCAAGGACTACAGCCAGGGGACGGAGAACGAAGAATCACATTTTGTCAGTGGATTCTTGATAGAACTGATAATAATAGTGTGTTTTTAAGTAACGTTTTATGGACCGATGAGTCATGCTTCACTAGACGTGGAGTGGTAAATTTTCATAATCAACATATTTGGTCGCATGAAAATCCGCATGCAGTTCGGTAAAGAAATTTTCAGCATGAATTTAATGTGAACGTGTGGATTGGTATCTACCGTAATCGACTATTTGGACCCTACCTTTTGCCTGCAAGGTTAAATGCTGCGACCTTCTTGGAATTTTTAAAGGCTGAACATGCAAAAAAGTGGGATGATGTTATGTTAGATTTAAGAAGATTGGCCTGGTTCCAGCTTGATGGTTGTCCAGCTCATTATTCGAGAATAGTTAGAAACTGGCTGGACGAAAATTATCCGGAAACATGGATCGGCCGTGGAGGACCAGTCGCCTGGCCTCCACGATCCCCTGACCTAAATCCATTAGATTTCTTTGTGTGGGGATTTCTAAAAGAAAAAGTGTACCAGACTCCCGTAACCATAAGAGATATGCTAATAGACAGAATCAGGAATGCATGTGATGAAATAAGGCCTTATTTGAATAATGCTATACCACGTTCGATCATTCGTAGATGTGAATTGTGTATTGAACAATTGGGTTTACATTTCGAGCAACTACTTTAGAATTTGTATGTTTGAAAGAAGAAGAAGAATAATAATTAATTTTGTTCTTTAACAATAAATTGTTCATTTTTAAATTAGATTTAATATTTTAATCACATTTAGGCTGTACCCTAAGGGTACAAGGGGGGTTGTCATCTGCCATCCGTTCGCCAGTCAAGTTCTTAATTTTTATGTTAGAGGCGAGAAGAACGTCTTCCTGAACATGAAGTTTTTTGACGAGTATGACCCCCCCAGACACAAATCCTGGATCCGCAGTTGATCTAATCTAAGAATTCACCAAGTCAAGTAGCTTGTTATTATTATTACAGGACTTGCAAATAAAATTACTTGAAGATGCTTGTATAAACAGAGTCCCGCAGTAACGGGATACCGTTTATAATAAAAAAAAATGTACAGTTTTTAAATTGTCAAGAGCCCCTTGCTTCACCTGTTGCTGTGTTGTAGACGCCTGATTGGTAGAACGTTTTGCATTCACTTCTGTTTCGCCTTCTTGAGATTGTTTTGGGGCATCTTCCCCTCCTGCTACCACCTGGATGGGCGGAGGTAGCTCAGCGTGCTGGGCTGGAGGTTTTTCGGACGCCATTTTCTTCAGGAATTCGTCGTCACGAGCCTTGTACATCTGTAGGCACGTTCAATGAAACGTTATCATAGCATATTTATTACTACACAAAAAAATAACTTCCGAGGGTATACGAGCCCCTTCCCACTTCAGTTGGCCCAACTATTGGAATCTTAGTTTTTTTCTTATCAAACACAAATAATAAAAATGAATAATAATGAATATTTTGATAATATATAGTAGAAAACACCAACTTTATTATTCCCTAATCAAATTTGCAGCATTAAAATAACACATGTTGCAATTCAGCATATCAACCTATTTTCATTTCAATGCAAAATAAGTCTATAACGCATAGGTGGCTATGAAAAATAAAAGCCATGACAATTGTTTTGATTAAGCACAGCTACCAGAATACGTTTAAAATAGTTTTGGGTAGTTAAGGTATTCAAAATAGGTAGAGGAAAGGTTTGTTAGACTTGTCGCGGTACAGTGTGAGAAATATTGTTAGAAGATATAACGTAACTGGATCAGTGAATATTAAGCCACGATATGTGAAAAAAAGTAATATCACAAATGCTCACCGAAGAGCATTAAGAAGAATAGTCCTGAAAAACAGGCGTGCCAATTATTTACAATTAAGTGCTCTGTGGAGTGACGCTGTTGGAAGGAGAATTTCGAGGTCCACAACTCATAGAGAGGCCCACAAACTGGGATTTAGCACTTGCAAGGTAAGTTTTCTTATAAAAAAGTGAAGTATAAACCCTAAAGTTGCACAACTTGTTTATAGGCCAAAGAAAAGCCACTATTAACTCCACTGCAAAAGAAAAATCGGCTTAGATGGGCTAAAGACCATAGACAATGGACACCTCAACAATGGTGTGCAATACAATGGAGTGATGAGGCCCAATTCGAAGTTTGTGTTGGTGGCAGTCGCAGTAGAGTTATTCGCAAAAAAATGAAGCATTCCATGTTGACTGTCTGAAGAGAAAAGTGAAATTTCCAGCATCTATTATGATCTGGGGCAGTATGTCATCAAAAGGAGTAGGAGGAAAACTTTATTTTATTGACGGAAATGTGGATACAAACAAATATTTGGCAATTTTAGAAGAATCGCTTTTACCAGTGATGGAAGAATGTTTGACATCCGGCCAAGATTTTGTGTTTCAGCAAGACGGTGCAGCGTGCCATACCTCAAAAAAGGCTATAGAATGGATGGAAGAAAATAATGTACCACTTTTGAAATGGGTTTCTAGCAGTCCAGATCTGTCACCTATTGAAACTTTGTGGCACGAGGTTAAAAAGGTTCTACGACAACATCCTGCTCGTACAATCATCGAACTGATACAAAAGCTTCAAGAAATATGGGATTGTTTTACACCAAATTTTTGCCAAAACTTGGTTAACCAAAGAATTTCAGCCGTAATAAAAAATAAAGGTGATGTGACCCAATGGTAATCTTTCAATCGTTGCTTTGTTAACTTTGCGCATTTATTCGCACATTGTTTATTTTTTCAGATGGTCTATTAGTTATAGGTCTAAGTGATTTCAAATATGTATTTTTTACGACTAGAGTGTATCTAAAATGTTTTTGAGAAAATAAATTGTTTTAGAAGTAAATAGTTTCGTCATGTTTAGTTTATAAAGGCATATTTTGGTGAAAATCTTGAAGTGAGCCAACTGAAGTGGGAAGGGGCTCGTAGAATATACAGAGTGTCCATTTGAAAGCTTATCACCACAGATTTATCGAAAGGCACTGATTAAAGGAAAAAACGCCGAGACCCGTCAGTAGATTTGTCAAGGGGATAACTTTTTAACCAAAGACTGTTCCACCCTTTGCCCCCCCCCCCCCAGGGTCGTTCCCTTAGAAATTTCAAATGGCAAGAGATATCAACTAATAGCTTGTTTGAAAGGCCTTTAGAAGTCCTTTATTTTGTCGGTTGATTTTTCAAAATCAGTCGATTCGTTTTCGAGAAAATTATTTATCTTAATTCGTTCAGATAGAAAACAAAAACACACAAAAATATCACTTTTTATTTCAATAAGTGTCCAAGATATCACCCGTTAGGGTTTGCCAAATCTACAATTCGTTTAATAATTTAAAACAGAAACTACCAACATAAACAGCAGTGCGGGAGTTCAGACGTGGCAACAACCAAATAACAACCCGAATTTTTTCCGCATTCCTTTCCTCAACACATATCCTGGGCGAACTGTATTGATTCTTATACCTATTTAGTTATTTGTTGCTAATGGATAGAAGGAATTTAATTTGCTGTAACAATCTTGGAATAGTGAAAAGTAATCTATTGATTTAGATTTGACTTCCAAAATGGTTTACACACTAGCCGAAAAAGTGGAAATGATTCTAATTTATGGTGCTCGGAAAATTGCCAACACCTTTAACGCCATATTTCCGGGGAAGATAACTTCGTATAGGTAAAAAAACAATGTACAAATGTTCAACTGAATATTTATGGTGAAAATATTGAATTCGTAGAAAATTTTAAATACCTGGGAGTTTTTGTTGACTCTCGATTAATTTTTGATATTCATTATGAAAAAGTTATAAATAAGATTAGTAGTAAAGTGGGATATTTATCGAGAGTTTCTGGATGTCTGAGTTCATGTAGCAGAAAAATGATCTATAATACCATCATTCTTCCAAATTTCTTGTACTGTTGGACTATTCTATATTTAGCATATAATTCCATTTTTGAAAGAAATTTTACAAAATAAATGCATGAGAATAATACTAAATAAAGATAAATTAGGCAAATGCTTAGCAAATTAAAATGGCTCAATGTAAAAAAATTTATCAAATATCCTGTAATGTTTTATAAAGTAAAAAATAATATATTTCCATGAAGTCTAACTAATTTAACATCATCAAATGTCGACCGTCATTTACATAATACCAGAAATAAAGATAACTTCCATTTAATGACCAAAAAGTATAACATATGCTACAAATCTGTATTCCATCAAGGGTTGATTGACTATAATAAGTTATACTCAGAGATAAAAGACCAGAAAACTTTGACAAAATTTAAAGTAAAATTGAGAAATCACTTGTTAAATCTACAATTATAGGTTGCCCAGCATTTACATCATACACCATATGGCTTGAATTTACTAGTCCTAAGTTGTTTACAGTTATTCTGTTTATGTAGCCAAATGTGCTAAATAAATCTTTCTACTACTACTAGTAACTTTGCGATGCCAATAAAAACAAACTCTACCTTGCCGTCAATGCCCCGAATGTGCGTATCATTGACAGGTGCCAACTCTGGACCCCACTGCTCCAGGAAGTGTCCCAACCTCGTGACCCGTTGTTGAGGCGTGGTCACAGTGTGACTACCACCACAATATCGGTTGCAGATGTGGTCCTGAGCCCTGGATGCTGATTTTCCTGCTTGCAGAGCATTTTCAAATATGTTCATGTTCTTGCTGCTCGGTGCACTAAACACAACAATGCCAACAAGTGAACAGTTTGTTGGATAAAGTTACCTCTTCTCTCTGTATGATTTACGGTTCGAGTCGGCCTAATTTCAATATGTACGAGGGAGAAGTGTGCAGTAATAATAATATTTACTCACATCAATTATAAAATGTGAATAAATTGATAGGCCACAAAAGGAGAATATCCTTGTGTACGGATATCATTCTAACGCATACAATATACAGGGAAAACCAAATTTGTTTGACGGCTTGAGTTCAACGTGTACGAGAGAGAAGCGCGAGACAAGACATGTTGCCGCGTTGCCAGAAAATGTTCGCACAGGCTGCTACAATTGCTTAGGTTAGTCTGTTCGAAGATTTAATTTAATATTTTGTCTTCATTCTAATTAGGATTATTTATTTCAATTCTGATGCAACTTGGTGTTTTAATTTCTTGTAAAACTATAATCATGGAGGTGGAAACCTTGTCTTGGAATATACGAGATGCGGTGTTGCCAAGGGAACCAATGATGCGATGTTGCAGAATTTGTGACGATCCTGACCCTTGATTTCGACTTAAAATGGAGCGCTGTTAGGACCGATCTGGAATCGATGCTAAACAGATTTCACACAATTCACAATTCAAAAATGTGTACGCTCAAAACAAAACCATTATTTGGGCGTAAAAAATAAACTAACGCATTTTGTCAATATGCTTCTTAATTCAAGGAACATATTGGCAACGCGGCAAATTGCCGCGTCACCGGTGCTAGGCAACGCGGTGATGAGCTTCTAAACCCTGACGGTTTCTATCTCTTTCTAGCATATGCGCTTATACACACTTCTCTCTACACATTGAACTAAAACCTTCAAATCTATAAAATATAAATGTCATATATTAATTTTGTAGATTAGGAATGTAGAAAAGATATGCGTACAAGACTTCATAAATTAGCTCATGCTTCTAGCAGTATTCAATAGCCACTCGAATAAATCTATTTTAAATGATATTCGTTTTTTTTCTAATATAGGTACGAGCCCCTTCCCACTTCAGTTGGCCCAACTATTGAAATCTTAGTTTTTTTCTTATCAAACCCAAATAATAAAAATGCAGCAGGGTGTTATAGGTTTAAAATATTAACAATGAATATTTTGATAATATATAGTAGAAAACACCAACTTTATCACTCCCTAATCAAATTTGCAGCATAAAAATAACACATGTTGCAATTACAGCAGATCAACCTATTTTCATTTCAATGCAAAATAAGTCTATAACGCATAGGTGGCTGTGAAAAATAAAAGCCATGACAATTGTTTTTATTAATCACGGCTGTCAGAATTCGTTTAAAATAGTTTTGGGTAGTTAAGGTTTTCAAAATGCGTAGAGGAAAGGTTATTAGTAAGAAAATTCGGTTACTGATAATTAAATTTTTTATTCTGGGAAATCAAACTCAGAAATTGCAACTTTGTTAGACTTATCGCGGTACAGTGTGAGAAATATTGTTAGAAGATATAACGTAACTGGTTCAGTTAATATTAAGCCACGATATGTGAAAAAAACTAATATCACAAATGCCGACCGAAGAGCATTAAGAAGAATAATCGTGAAAAACAGGCGTGCCAATTATTTACAATTAAGTGCTCTGTGGAGTGACGCTGTTGGAAGGAGAATTTCGAGGTCCACAACTCATACAGTGGCCCACAAACGGGGATTTAGCACTTGCAAGGTAAGTTTTCTTATAAAAAAAGTGAAGTAAAAACCCTAAAGTTGCACAACTTGTTTATAGGCCAAAGAAAAGCCACTATTAACTCCACTGCAAAAGAAAAATCGGCTTAGATGGGCTAAAGAACATAGACAATGGACACCTCAACAATGGTATACAATACAATGGAGTGATGAGGCCCGATTCGAAGTTTGTGTTGGTGACAGTCGCAGTAGAGTTATTCGCAAAAAAAAAAATGAAGCATTCCATGTTGACTGTCTGAAGAGAAAAGTGAAATTTCCAGCATCCATTATGGTCTGGGGCAGTATGTCATCAAAAGGAGTAGGAAAACTTCATTTTATTGATGAAAATGTGGATACAAACAAATATTTGGCAATTTTAGAAGAATCGTTTTTACCAGTGATGGGAGAATGTCTGACATCCGGCGAAGATTTTGTGTTTCAACAAGATGGTGCAGCGTGCCATACCTCAAAAAAGGTTATAAAATGGATGGAAGAACATAATGTACCACTTTTGAAATGGGTTTCTAGTAGTTCAAATCTGTTACCTATTGAAACTTTGTGGCACGAGATGAAAAAGGTTCTCCGAGAACATCCTGCTCGTACAATCACCGAACTGAGACAAAATCTTCAAGAAATATGGGATTATTTTACACAAAATTTTTGACAAAACTTGGTTAACACTATAGTCCAAAGAATTTATTCGCACATTGTTTATTTGTTCAGATTTTCTATTAGTTATAGGTCTAAGTGATTTCAAATATGAATTTTTACGACTAGAGTGTAACTAAAATGTTTTTGAGAAAATAAATTGTTTTAGAAGTAAATAGTTTCCTCATGTTTAGTTTATAAAGGCATATTTTGGTACAAACCTTGAAGTGGGCCAACTGAAGTGGGAAGGGGCTCGTATGTTGGTATGTTATGATAAAATTTTGGACCTAAGTATATAAATAATTTCAACGTTGCTTTCTTATTTGGTGTTGCAATAATTATATGTTTAGTTTTATTTCTGATTCTGACATTTGTTTTTATGGAAATCTATTGAGAAAACGCGATCAATTAAACAGTGTTGTAATAAATTTGTTAATTATTCTCAGTAAATTATTTGGTTAAGTAAACTAAATACTCTGGAACCAGCATAATTGAAAGAAATATACTATTAAACAAGTTTGCTTGGAGATAGGAAACCATGTACCTGTTTAATTAAACTGTTTAATTAGATCATTTAGTTTATGCAGAAAAGGTACATTTAAAACAAAAACTTTTGGATTTAAAACAAAGAATTGCTTCTTAGTGGATGGTCTTATATTATGATCTGTTGTTGGGTAATGAGACAAATATAATTGGTAAAATATGATTCCATATATAATCGGTTCACAATCGATGAAAATGAAAAAATCGAATTTTGTTGGTATTGCAAAATTCGGAAGCTGTTATTTTGATTCGAAAATATCAATGATCAGTGTCAAGATTTCCAATTTTTTATATCATTCAGTAAAATGCAATATGTTTTCTAAGATTCCAAATATTATTCAAATATACTTTTAAATCTAAATAAAATATATCGCTAAAACTATACATTTTTACCTAAACTAATTAATTTAATAAATATAATTAAATTGTTTTACTTTGAGCAGGTAAACTCATTTTAATAGTTCATTAATTTAAAATATTGGTGTACTTGATAAATCTGATTAAACGATTGTATTTTGGTTTCGTAGATTCAAGTAAACTGTTTTAGAAATCGGAGTTTAATAAGACTAATTAAACTTGTTAGCTGTCACATAGTTAATTAAAATTTTCAATCAGCTCAATTAAATTTTTAATCGTTTAAATTATTTTTTTCTCGGTGTATCAATATCAAGTTTACCAAATGTGTTGATGTTTAAGATTTATCAGAGCCGTTATAATATACATCATTCGGTGAAATGCAATTTGTTTTTTTAAACTTAAAATAAATCCAAATAAAATAATTCATTAAAACTAAGCAAATACGTTTAACAAAACTAATTAGGCAAATTCAATAAATCAAATTAAATTCTTTTACTTGAACCAAGTAAGATTTTAATAGTTCATTAATTTTAAATAAATTGGTGTACTCGATCCAAGTAAACGGTATAATAAATTTAATTAAACGATTCCGTTTTGGTTTAGTTAAACTAGTTTTGTAGATTCAAGTAAACTGTTTTAGATATCAGAGTTCAATAAGACTGGTTAAACCCGTTAGCTGTCATATAGTTGATTAAAATTTTTAATTGACCCAATTAAAATTTTAATCGGTCTAATTAATTTTTTCTCGCTGTATCAGTATCAAGTTTTCTAAATGTTTTGACGTTCAAGATTTGTCAGAGCAGTTATAATATACGTCATTCAGTAAAATGCAATTTGTTCTTTTAAACTCCAAATAAATCCAAATAAAATAATTCATTAAAACTAAGCAAATACGTTTAACTAAACTAATTAGGCAAATTCAATAAATTAAATTAAATGCTTTTACTTAAAGCAAGTAAGATTTGAATAGTCTATTAATTTTAAATAAATTGGTGTACTCGATCTAAGTAAACGGTACAATAAATTTAATTAAGCGATTCCGTTTTGGTTTAGTTAAACTAGTTTTGTAGACTCAAGTAAACTGCTTTAGATATCAGAGTTCAATAAGACTGGTTAAGCCCGTTAGCTGTTCTGTAGTTAATTAAAATTTTTAATTGACCCAATTAAAATTTTAATCGGTCTAATTAATTTTTTCTCGCTGTATCAGTATCAAGGTTTCTAAATGTTTTGATGTTCAAGATTTGTCAGAGCAGTTATAATATATATCATTCAGTAAGATGCAATTTGTTCTTTTAAATTCCAAATATTATTCAAATATCGTCTTGAATCTAAATAAAATAATTCATTAAAACTAAGCAAATATGTTTACCTATGCTAATTAAACAAATTCAATAAATATAATTAAATTGTTTTAATTGAAGCAGATAAACTCATTTTAATAGTGCCTTAATGTTGAATGAATTGGTGTACTCAATCTAAGTAAATGGTTCAATAAATTTAATTAAACGATTGTATTTTTGTTTAGTTCAACTAGTTTCGTAGATTCAAGTAAACTGTTTCAGATATCGGAGTCTAATAAGGCTAGTTAAAGTTATTAGCTGTCACATAGTTAATTAAAATTTTTAATTGGCCCAATTAAAATTTTAATCGGTTTAATTATTTTGTTTCTCGGTGTGTCAATATCAAGTTTTCTAAATGTTTTGATATTCAAGATTTATCAGAGTGGTTATAATATATACCACTCAGTAAAATGCAAATTTTTCTTTTAAATCCCAAATATAACGCAAATATCTTCTTAAATCTAAATAAAATAATTCATTTAAACTAGGAAAATACGTTTACCTAAACTAATTGAACAAATTCAAGTCCTCTTACTTGGAGCAGGTAAACTCGTTAATTTCAAATAAGCTGGTTTACTCAATCTAAGTAAACGGTTTAATAAATTTAATTATACGTAAAGTAAAGTAAGTAAACTGTTTTATAAATCATGGTACACATAATTAAACTTTTTAGCTATTACATACTTAATTCAATTCTTTGATTGGCTTAATTGGAATTTTACTAGCGTTAATCAAATTTTTTGCTCAGTGCATCGCAATAAATTGTCTTATACCACTTCTGTTGTTTCCTAAGCTGATCCAGCTCGTAGGCCAAATAAGGTCCCATACTCCTGTTAGGTTGAGCGGCATATGGCTTCGGGAACTGAGTAGGGTCCATTTCTTTCCTCATCACCACATCTTTGTCGCACGAGATGCAATTCACGTTCCTCAGATACTTGCTCTTGGTACCAGCTGCTTCTTGCTCCTTTTTCAACGCTGTCAACGTTCTGAATTTGTCTTGCAAACTGCGTAACTTGTTGTTGATGAAGTCGCGCAGGGGGTTCAGTTCCATCCTGAAGAACAGGAAAATTTGTAGAGCTAAGCGCACTGAAGCGGATGCCTCCCCTAATCTCAGACCTCAGAATATCAAGGCACTCTCTACAGGCTCAAGTAATTGCCATACAAATCTGCGCAAAAGACTTAATAAGGAATGAGACTGCAAGTCGATTACCATCTGATCAGGCAGCCATAAAGGCATTAAATTCATCGCAAAGGTAACCTTGTTCTGGATACCAGGAGATGAAGGGCACAAAGGAAATGAAAAGGAGGATGAGCTAGCCCAACAGGGTACGGCCAATCATCTTATAGATCTGCACTAAGCATTCCATAAGAAACTGGACCAAGGAAAAGTCCCTAGAATGGTGAAACAGCCAATTAGGGCAGAGGCAGGCAAAAGAGTTCATCAAAGAATAAAGACCCGCATTTACAGAGAACATACCCGGTTCAATTCACTGAGGTCTAAATCGGCATATGAGGTTTTTGGATCTGACAGAAGAGGTCACATGCCATTTCTGTAAAGAGCATGATGAAACCCCAGTGCATGTCAATGAATAGGAGGATGAGCTAGCCCAACAGGATGCGGCCAATCATCTTATAGATCCAAAGCCTTGACTGTACTAAGCAGTCCATAAGAAACTGGACCAAGTTAAAGTCCCTAGAATGGTTCAACAGCCAATTAGGGCAGAGGCACGCAAAAGAGTTCATCAAAGAACGAACGCCCGCATTTACAGAGAATATACTCGGATTCAATTCACCGACGTCTAAATCGACGTATGAGGTTCTTGGGTCTGATAGAAGAGGTTACATGTCGTTTCTGCAAAGAGCATGATGAAACCCCAGTGCATTTCAATGAAAAAGAGGATGAGCTAGCCCAACAGGATGCGGCCAATCATCTTATAGATCCAGAGCATTGACTGCACTAAGCATTCCATAAGAAACTGGACCAAGGAAAAGTCCCTAGAATGGTGGAACAGCCAATTAGGGCAGAGGCAGGCAAAAGAGTTCATCAAAGAATAAAGACCCGCATTTACAGAGAACATACTCGGATTCAAATCACTGAGGTCTAAATAGATATATGAGGTTCTTGGGTCTGACAGAAGAGGTCACATGCCATTTCTTTAAAGAGCATGATGAAACCCCAGTTCATGTCAATGAAAAGGAGGATGAGCTAGCCCAACAGGGTGCGGCCAATCATCTTATAGATCCAAAGCGTTGACTGTACTAAGCAGTCCATAAGAAACTGGACCAAGGAAAAGTCCCTAGAATGGTGGAACAGCCAATTAGTGCAGAGGCAGGCAAAAGAGTTCATCAAAGAACGAAGGCCCGCATTTACAGAGAATATACTCGGATTCAATTCACCGACGTCTAAATCGACATATGAGGTTCTTGGGTCTGATAGAAGAGGTTACATGTCGTTTCTGCAAAGAGCATGATGAAACCCCAGTGCATTTCAATGAAAAAGAGGATGACCTAGCCCAACAGGATGCGGCCAATCATCATACAGATCCAAAGCGTTGACTGTACTAAGCAGTCCATAAGAAACTGGACCAAGGAAAAGTCCCTAGAATGGTGGAACAGCCAATTAGTGCAGAGGCAGGCAAAAGAGTTCATCAAAGAACGAAAGCCCGCATTTACAGAGAATATACTCAGATTCAATTCACCGACGTCTAAATTGACATATGAGGTTCTTGGGTCTGATAGAAGAGGTTACATGTCGTTTATGCAAAGAGCATGATGAAACCCCAGTACATTTCAATGAAAAAGAGGATGAGCTAGCCCAACAGGATGCGGCCAATCATCTTATAGGTCCAGAGCATTGACTGCACTAAGCATTCCATAAGAAACTGGACCAAGAAAAAGTCCCTAGAATGGTGGAACAGCCAATTAGTGCAGAGGCAGGCAAAAGAGTTCATCAAAGAACGAAGGCCCGCATTTACAGAGAATATACTCGGATTCAATTCACCGACGTCTAAATCGACATATGAGGTTCTTGGGTCTGATAGAAGAGGTTACATGTCGTTTCTGCAAAGAGCATGATGAAACCCCAGTGCATTTCAATGAAAAAGAGGATGACCTAGCCCAACAGGATGCGGCCAATCATCATACAGATCCAAAGCGTTGACTGTACTAAGCAGTCCATAAGAAACTGGACCAAGGAAAAGTCCCTAGAATGGTGGAACAGCCAAGTAAGACAGAGGCACGCAAAAGAGTTCATCAAAGAACGAAGGCCCGCATTTACAGAGAATATACTCGGATTCAATTCACCGACGTTTAAATCGACATATGAGGTTCTTGGGTCTGACAGAAGAGGTCACATGCCATTTCCGTAAAGAGCATGATGAAACCCCAGTGCATGTCAATGAAAAGGAGTGAGGCATAGGCAGGCAAAAGAGTTCATCAAAGAACGAAGGCCCGCATTTACAGAGAATATACTCGGATTCAATTCACCGACGTCTAAATCGACGTATGAGGTTCTTGGGTCTGATAGAAGAGGTTACATGTCGTTTCTGCAAAGAGCATGATGAAACCCCAGTGCATTTCAATAAAAAAGAGGATGAGCTAGCCCAACAGGATGCGGCCAATCATCTTATAGATCCAGAGCATTGACTGCACTAAGCATTCCATAAGAAACTGGACCAAGGAAAAGTCCCTAGAATGGTGGAACAGCCAATTAGTGCAGAGGCAGGCAAAAGAGTTCATCAAAGAACGAAAGCCCGCATTTACAGAGAATATACTCAGATTCAATTCACCGACGTCTAAATTGACATATGAGGTTCTTGGGTCTGATAGAAGAGGTTACATGTCGTTTATGCAAAGAGCATGATGAAACCCCAGTACATTTCAATGAAAAAGAGGATGAGCTAGCCCAACAGGATGCGGCCAATCATCTTATAGGTCCAGAGCATTGACTGCACTAAGCATTCCATAAGAAACTGGACCAAGAAAAAGTCCCTAGAATGGTGGAACAGCCAATTAGGGCAGAGGCAGGCAAAAGAGTTCATCAAAGAATAAAGACCCGCATTTACAGAGAACATACTCGGATTCAAATCACTGAGGTCTAAATCGACATATGAGGTTCTTGGGTCTGATAGAAGAGGTTACATGTCGTTTCTGCAAAGAGCATGATGAAACCCCAGTGCATTTCAATGAAAAAGAGGATGAGCTAGCCCAACAGGATGCGGCCAATCATCATATAGATCCAAAGCGTTGACTGTACTAAGCAGTCCATAAGAAACTGGACCAAGGAAAAGTCCCTAGAATGGTGGAACAGCCAAGTAAGACAGAGGCACGCAAAAGAGTTCATCAAAGAACGAAGGCCCGCATTTACAGAGAATATAGTCGGATTCAATTCACCGACGTTTAAATCGACATATGAGGTTCTTGGGTCTGACAGAAGAGGTCACATGCCATTTCTGTAAAGAGCATGATGAAACCCCAGTGCATGTCAATGAAAAGGAGGATGAGCTAGCCGAACAGGATGCGGCCAATCATCTTATAGATCCAAAGCGTTAACTGTACTAAGCATTCCATAAGAAACTGGACCAAGACAAAGTCCCTAGAATGGTGGAACAGCCAATTAGGGCAGAGGCACGCAAAAGAGTTCATCAAAGAATGGAGGTCCGCGTTTACAGAGAATATACTCGGATTCAATTCACCGACGTCTAAATCGGCATATGAGCTTCTTGGGTCTGATAGAAGAGGTTACATGTCGTTTCTGCAAAGATCATGATGAAACCCCAGTGCATTTCAATGAAAAAGAGGATGAACTAGCGCAACAGGATGGGGTCAATCATCTTATACATCCAAAGCGTTGACTAAGCAGTCCACATGAAACTGGACCAAGGAAAAGTCCCTAGAATGGTGAACCAGCCAATTAGGGCAGAGGCAGGCAAAAGAGTTCATCAAAGTATAAAGACCCGCATTTACAGAGAACATACCAGGATTCAATTCACTGAGGTCTAAATCGACATATGAGGTTCTTGGGTCTGACAGAAGAGGTCACATGCCATTTCTGTAAAGAGCATGATGAAACCCCAGTGCATGTCAATGAAAAGGAGGATGAGCTAGCCCAACAGGATGCGGCCAAGCACCTTATAGATCCAGAGCATTGACTGCACTAAGCATTCCACAAGAAACTGGACCAAGAAAAAGTCCCTAGAATGGTGGAACAGCCAATTAGGGCATAGGCACGCAAAAGAGTTCATCAAAGAACGAAGGCCCGCATTTACAGAGAATATACTCGGATTCAATTCACCGACGTCTAAATCGACGTATGAGGTTCTTGGGTCTGATAGAAGAGGTTACATGTCGTTTCTGCGAAGAGCATGATGAAACCCCAGTGCATGTCAATGAAAAGGAGGATGAGCTAGCCCAACAGGATGCGGCCAAGCACCTTATAGATCCAGAGCATTGACTGCACTAAGCATTCCATAAGAAACTGGACCAAGAAAAAGTCCCTAGAATGGTGGAACAGCCAATTAGGGCATAGGCAGGCAAAAGAGTTCATCAAAGAATAAAGACCCGCATTTACAGGGAATATTATTATTATTATTATTATTATTATTATTATTAAACAACAAATTTGAGTTGAGTACAAGTACTATAAACTCAAACACAAAAATAGATAATAGTGTACAGACAAAAGAAATATAACAATTTGCACTTCTGAAGTAGACATATACAGAATGGGAACAATATGTTAAGCACTGCGGTGTCTATCGTAATTGTTTTTGAAACTGTTGACGGATTCCGAGTTCCCTACATAAGATGGAAGACTGTTCCATGCATCGAAGACACGGTTTGAGATGAAGCGCTGACGAGTAGAGGTTCTAAAAGCTTCCTTCTGCAATTTGAAGTTATGGCCTCTGAGACTGTTCGTTGCCAGACGAAACAGATGCGACATGTCCACACCAAACAAATTATGCAGTGCTCTGAAAGTGATGATGAGATCTCCTCGTACTCTTCTATCAGCAAAAGCAGGCAGGTTATATAGCTCGAGGCGGTCTTCATAACT